CTTAATAGGGTCTGAAATCACCTACAATGACCCCTTGTGGTCCCCACTACTGGGTGGTGGATTCCTACTCCCTAAGCCCTGGGTGTCCCAAACCCAAAGCCCTAAATCCTAGGCCCAAAACCCTAAACCCTAAAGCCTAGATCCTAAATCCTAAATCCTAGCTGTTCGAGGATAGGGACTGCGAGAAGGCCAGGCATCTCTAAGCCCTGAACCCTAACCAAAAACAACTTCGTACCCTGAATCCTAAACCCTACAGCCTGAACCCTAAAGCTGTTAAAGATTTTGGGCTTAGGCTTTAGGGTTGAACCCTAAAGCCCGACCACTAAAACAGTTTAGGGTTGAGGGTTGAACCCTGAACCCTGAGCCCTAAAATCCTAAACCCTAAACCCCTAAACCCCTAAACCCCTAAACCCTAAACCCCTAAACCCTAAACCCTAAACACTGAACCCTAAATTCACGGCTCCTTCTATGTTAAGCTTCCCGCCTTGAGAACCTTTTGCATAATAAGTACTTGATGCGCATGGACCGTACACGCTACCTGCTGGTCCCCGAAAACAAAAACAAGCAAAAAATGGCCCAACCCCCTGAGCCCTAAGCCCTAGGGTTTAGGGTTTAGGGGTGGGGTTCTTTTGGGCATTCAGGTACAGCCCAAATCCCAAGACTGGCAGCCGAGCCCTGAAAGACCAAGCCTTAAACCCCATGCCCCCAAGCTCTAAGTCGAAATCCAAGTTACAGTAAAGTTCAAGTGGGTTTAGGGTTTAGGGCTTAGGGTGTCAAGTTTTAGATTTTAGGGTTTAGGGTAAGATATCCTCTTTATAGATTCTTCAAAGCCTGACCTCTCAACCCAAAACTCTGAACTCTCAAGCCTAAACCCCCAAAGCCCAAGACTCTCATCAGATGCTAAACCCGAATCCATACCTGCTTTCCGCCCTAAAGCCTAAACCCTAAACCCCAAAAGCCCTAAAAACTACCAAAAAAACAACCACCGAAAAACTTCAAACCCCAAAGCAACCTGTCCTGGACTTCAGCACTTTCGTCCCAGGTCGGCTCCTTCTTGTTTCGGGGCTTCGGGTTTGGGATTTCGGGGTGCATGACCTTCATGGAGATTTTCGAAGACAATGGACAATGAAATTGATAGTTGCTTGACATTTAGAGTTTAGGGGTTTGGGTTCCGCGCTTCAGGGTTTAGAGCTCAGGGTTTGGGATCTACAGGGCTTCGCATTGGCAAGAGGGAAACAGCAAGAACTCGCAGGATCAGGGCTCCAGGATTTTGGGCTTAGCCTACCCAAAAACGAAAAAACGATCCCTTACATCATGGTTTCCCCTCCTACTCCAAGGCTCCGCTTTCAATTAGCCTTCCTCAACCCTAGTTATCCCCAATTTAAATCCCAAATCCACTTCTCCCCTAAATAGATAGCCGTAAGCAAGGGGAAGCCTGGGGGTGGTTGTAGGGGAAGCCTTTGGGGGCCACAGGCCAGATATTGGATGGGAAGTGATGCTAGCTAAGGGTCTAGGGTCAGGGTTAACCCTACACCCTAAACCCTAAACCCATTTAGGGTTTAGGGCGGAGGGCTCCCTGAGCCCTCAACCCTACTTGGAGGTTCATGAACTTAGTCTTAGTAACTAGAAACTGGGGTTATAACCCTACTTATAAGTGGGGTAACCCCTGTAAGGTCATTTAGGGGGGTTATAAGTAGGGTTATAAGCCCAGTTATAAATTGTTACTGCTTCCCATGAAGAGAGAGAGATGGAGAGAGAGAGAGAGAGAGATATATATATATATATAGAGATGTATAAGTGTGTATATATATACATACATATCCATTCAGCCTATGCCAGCCCCGTGTAGCACTTTGATAGCTTGTATCTACTACTCGAAATGCTGGACCATAAGCTTCAACAACTCTCTTACCTTCAACCTAAACCCCCAAACATTCAAACCTGGAATCCCTGAACCCCAAACCCCCCAACCCATACATCTCTTACCCCTACACCCATGCCTAGGGTTTAGGGTTTCGGGGCCCTCCAGCCCCGCCCCCACCCCAAACCCCAAACTTCGGCATCCCGCAAGTGCCTCCTCCAGGTCACCCTCCTCGTCCCAATCCTCCGGAAACTCGCACTCCATGGCGCTTGCGCAGGTGGCTTGGGCTTTGTAAAGGACTGCTTGAGGTTTGCAGCTTGTAGGAGATAAGGGTTTAGAGCTTAGGTTCTGCGCACCACTTGGGGCTCGGCGGTTGAGCTTCACTTCCAGAGCTTCGTGTGGGAGGGCGGGGGGTTGAAGATGCGTACGTGCAGGGTCCGGGGTAAGCTTCCTAAGGTGGTCTAGGGCTTAGGGCCTAAAGGGTTCAGGGTTTAGAGTTTGGGGATTAGGGTTTAGGGTTTTTTCTTTCTTCTCAAAGCTTGCAACTACCGTCCTTAGCTAGATAGATGAAGAAGCACGAATGATATCAATAACAATGATTTTCAGGAACTACAAGATATTTCCTGCTTGTAAACTGGTTTTCCCCTACCTAATACCTAGTACCGTGTCATCGTGCAGTGCTCCCTCTTGTTAAGGGCTCGTGCTTGCGTTGTTGGACATTGCCAACTAATGCGCTTTGAGAAAAGCGGTCTCACACACAGCGCGGCAAGCTATGCAGTCTCCCCGGTTCAGGTTTCGGCTTCAATGTTTGGTGCTTAGGGTTGACGGCTTAGGCCTTTCCATTTTGGATTTATGGATTCAATTAGACGGCAATGTTTGGGGAATGTAAGAGGACCGGGGCAGTTCCAAGAGCTTCTTTGACACATGATCAGATAAAGCCATTTTCCAGCTCAGCACAGCTGGCGTGGCGGTTTAGAGTTTGGGTTTCCAGGTAGATGGGTTTAGGGTTTAGGGGTTTAGGGTTTGGGGTTTCAAGGTTTAGGGTTTCAGGGTTTAGGGTTTAGGGTTTAGGGTTTCAAGAACAGGGATGTTTTCAAAATGGCTCTTATACGGCTCTCACTGCGAACCCAAGTAATCCAGCCATGGCCCCTTGATACCTTCAGTGTCCCCTGGGTACACCCATGTTGTAACGCTCCCATGCGCAACCAATTATCTGGCATCCAAGTTGTTGACCGGCTTGCACCTAGAGTCCCCTTGACTATGTAGAAGTTTACTTGAACCCTAAAGTCCAGATATTGTGGGGAGGCCCCCCCCCCCGCTAATTAGGGAAGGGGGGTATTGGGGGGGCCCCTCACACTAATCAGGACCCGACATTCATGTGGTATCTTAGGGGTGTGGGGGGGGTTTTATATCGGGGAAAGGGGATTACTTGCAAGGGGAGACGCTACTACTTAGAGCATAAACTCCCAGGAGGTCAGACGTATAAATTCTCCCCGAGCTTGCTTAAGGTTTAGGGTTTAGGGTTCAGAGTTTAGGGATGAAGGAATGGAAAAAAACATGGAAACTGCTATAATGGCTTATATAGGGACTACTCTAAGGATCCATTCCTTCCTTCGCCAGCTAGCCAAAGGGCAGCATTGAAACCCTAAATCCGAAGTTTGGCTTGGAGGTCCTTGGGTGCGTGTATCCCCTTTCTACCTGTAATCAACCTAAACCCTAAACCCTAAACCCACTGACCTTTTCGGCGGCCGACTTTTGCGGTTCCGAAGCCGGCCGTTGAGACTCAGCTGCCACGGACAGCGGGCCCTTCAGCCTTGTCAGAGCCTTGGCAGAAGGTCCAGTTTCTAGTATAGGGTTTATAGGGTTTATCTGATTTTTTACATTGATGTATGCAAAGGGTGAGGATTTTGGAGGTCATGGGATGTTGAGGATGCTCGGGGATAGATTCATCAGGTGTAATCTGGGAGCAGGCGGCTTAGGGTTTAGGGTTTAGGATCTTAGGGTTTAGGGTTTAGGGTTTAGGGGGTTTAGGATCTTAATCCTAAAATATTCTAGTAGGTTCCATTTCCTTTTCCATATCTAAATCCTAACTATTATAATAGCTTCCATTTTCATTTCCATTATTTACTCAGTCCATCTGACACTTCCTTTTTGCTTGGTCCAGCGAGAATAGGGAGGCAGGGCTGCTCGGGGCCGAGGCTTGTTGGCTCTCAGGTGCAGAGCAGAGTTCCGCAAAGCCAATCCATACCTCCTTCTGACGCTCTGAACCTGCGGAAGCACCCTAAACCCTAAACCCTGAACCCGATGCTCTAAACTCTAAACCCCCCCTGAAGTTGGTGGCTGGGAGCGGCCAGGACATGACGAAAGTCAATTCTTTTGGCCTTCGGGCTGATGAGGCATTCTCGCGGATTGCGGGCCCAGATCTTAGGGCTGAAGGTTACGTACTTCATCGGTTTGAGTTGGTTTTTGATGTTTAGGGTTTAGAGTCCAGGATTTAGGGTTTAGGCTTTATAGGATTTGGGGTCAGCAGAAGATGACATACACCTGCAATCTGGGCCCTCATGCTGAGCCGTAACCTCCCTCTTTTGAGGGAGTTGCTACGTCTGGTACGCGTACTCAGGTGCTGCGGCTGAATGTTGACACTGAAGCCGAACATCTCATCTTAGGTGCTGCAGACATGCCTGGATGGACCTGGTGAAGCCAACTTTTCCCGGAAGAATTCCAGTGGTCATCCCTTCTATACGACTCCTTGCGGATGATCGCGGAAGGACGTGCTCTTGGATGCTTCGTGGCCGATCCAAGCAGGCATGTGCAGGCTTCGAACTACGACAGCTGTGCTGATGGATGGATAGAGTAAGCAAGAATGGAAGTCTGATTTCTGCGGCAAGTCTGGACGTGCACGGTGAGACGTTGAACCCCTTGCCTTGTAGCAGCTTTGGAGGCTCTGTCCAGGCAACTTGCCGCAGCAACTCTGCTGCTCAAATCAGAGATCTTCTAGGTTTTAAATTCGAGGTGGAGCGCTGCAGGCCCTTGCCCTGACAGAGATGCATCGATTAAAACAACTAAGAAATACTCGAGCCACATCACACAACATCGGTCCCCGAGTCCATGCCCTGCCCTGATCCATGCTTCGCACGGCTCAGGGCATGAAGAAAGCATAGACGGGGAACTCCATGCCATCCAGGGCCTGGCGCTCCCAGCGGCACCCCACCCCCAGCGGCAGTTGCGTCCGAGGGTGGACCGGGGCAGCGCGGTCGAATTCAGGGCCACCAGACGTGCGGATCCGCCCTTCGCCCCAGCTTTCGGGTCGACCATTTCGAAAGGTCTCCCTTGGAATTGCGCAGAGAGAGGCTGTATGCAGAACTGATCATGCAGTATTTTATTGCTGCCATGGCAACAAACTGAAAGATCTCAAGCAGTCCCAGGCTCTTGGGCAGCCCATGCTTCTCGGCATCCTTGTCCGAAAGCTCTGAGGATCCAGCTCCGTACTTCTCCACCCAGTCCTCAGCTGCACCACGCGAGCGAATCACTTCACAAGCAGCACTTCACGCGAAACCCGAAACCCCTGCAAGCTCGGACCAGGCCGGGGCGTGCATCGAGCCCCGGAGCCCTTAAAAAGCCGAACCACCCTTATGCTCTACGCCTCGCCTTTAGAATTGCCGATTGTCTGGATAGAAAATATTCGAAACGGCGCAGCAGATGACTTCGCCAAGCTCATGGTGCCGGCGTACCTCCCGGAGCCAGTGGCAGCACCAGCCTGGGCAGCAGCGGAAACTCTGAGCACTGCTGGCAAGCAGTGCTTGGATGATACAACTCCATCTGCGAGCCTGCCGTCAGAAAGCCATCTACCCAAGAACTCTGAGCCCCTAAACTTCAAAGAAACCAGAAGCACGCCAGCAATAAATTGACGCAAGGTTGACACCCAAGCGAGTAGGAACAAAACGCAGCACGCCTGAAGCTGCAAAGACAAACAGGCAGCACAGCCTTCCAAGCTTTTTCAAAGCCTTTCTGGGCCATGCCTTCTGATTACCTTAAAGTTACTGAGGTTTGTCTAGAGGAGATGGTCTGTTCCCGGCTCCCGCATCCTCCCTGCCTCTACATCAAGAACTCCCCAGAGTTGATTGCACTCCCTGCCAACCCAAGTTTGAGTTTGTCATCAGCACTTGTGAGCGTGCCTCTCAGCCCGTTTTGGAAGGACCGGAGGCGAGCTTGCGCCAAAAAAGGCTGAATAAGAAGTCAGCTCTCACCCAATCCCAAAGTTTTGTTCTGAGTTTTCTTCGAGCATAGAGACTGGGCTCGTTCGGCTAGAGGTTAGCATATGCTGACAGGACTGTGTTGTACAGGTGCCCTTTTGATTTTGTGTTGGTTCTTGCTCTACCGCTGCTCTGCTTCTGTTGTTTCACCAGCTTTCCTGAAGAAACAGCCCGCGGTGGGATTCGGGTCGTGCCCTGGACACGTAGGTGAGACAACAGCCCCAAAATGCAATGGAAGCTTCATCTCTGAACGAACATCGACCCGAAACGATTTTGAAGCCTTCTCGCAGAGCGAGTCTGAAACCAACTCACCCAAAAGTCAAGGCTTCAAGAACGCTGAAATGCACGCAACCACAGGGCACCTAAATCTTACGCTCAAAACCAGAGCGCAGGACATCTGGTTGCGGTAAGCCTTCTTGAGACCCACAAGTGTCTTCCCTAACATGCAGCTAACAAAATTAGCCTTAGGATTCCTTGCAGAAATCAAAGTGGATATGAAGCTCTCTTCGGCTGGGCTTAACTGGCGAATGACTGCCATTGAGCCGACTTAGCCTGACAGATGGAATCAAAGACTGGGAGCACCTTCCAGCGTCCCCTCCGCAAACCCCAGGCCCCAAACCCTAAACCCCCTAAACAGCAAGGGCCGAGGACAAGCTAGAGCGGCCAGTGAGGAATTTTAGCTTGTACCACTCCATTGTTGCCCTGCTGAGTTTAATGATTACATTGCGGCTTGTCAACTGCCAATCCAAGACTTCCCATCTTGCCAGCATTTCTCTAAGGGGCATTTGTATTTTGCGCCAGTCTCGGGCTCCTGAGTGGCGCACGGCAAACAACGGAGTCTCTCAAATCAAAGGACACTCACTTGCAAAAGCCTGGGAGCATCTCACGACCTTCAACGCCCCTCTGAGCCGCCGACCAGGGAGGCGCTGCGCGAGTCCACGCGAGACTGCCATTTCATGTCTCGAGACTCGGCCGGGGGCACGGGCACCTCGTCTCGGCCGCAGTCGGTGCTTGGATGCACCCAGCCGCCGTCAGCGGCAGAATGTCCGAAAACGGGTTCGTCATCGAACCAGACGGTCGCCGTGCCTGAGGACGCGTTCGCAACAGTTCGCGCACCACTGACCACTCCCAACATCCCCTGAAGCTTTTGCAGGGCTGAGAGCATCCCAAGCCTGCGTGAAAAGCCCTCAACTCAGAAGCCAACCAGCCGAGGAGCTCCCCTGCATATAAGGAGATCGCAACTTTTCCATCACCTTGTCGTAGGCCTGGCCTGATCAACAACACGAACGTGGCCGCGGCAAGAGATGCACATGATGCGGCCTCCAGCCCCAAAAAAGTCTCGCTTCAATGCCCTGTCGGAAGGAGGAGTTCAGCCTGGTGCTGTACAAATCATCGCTCCAGACCCGCCCTAGAGCTCTGGTGAGGATGAGATGATGAGAGCCCTACCCAGAGAGAACCTTCGAATCTTTGGCTGATTCGAAAGATAATATCGGTCTGTGCGGAAGCTTTGAAGCTGCCTGGAAACGCGCTTCCAGGTTGGTCGGTGCAAGAAATTATTGCGGGTCTCTAAGATGATCGATGTGAGAAATTCTGAGTGTGAGAAGAGTGGGGTAAGACATGAAATGACCCATGAACCCGAGAGATCACCAGCTGCATCCAGGCACCCTTCGCAGCCCAGGCTGTTTTGGATAGTTTCCACCGCAAGGTACACGAAGGATGATGCACATATATGATAAACATTATGTAAACCCGAGGCATGCCCGCCACAGCTTAAGAAAGCGGAAAGCTGCCCGACATGAAAAAAGCAAAAACGTAGTCCTAGGTAGGAGGAGGATGGAGCGACCTCCTACCAGAAAGCCACCAAATGCCTTCTCCACAAGCAGTCCCCCACCCCCGCCCCAATTCTATGTGAGACCCGAAACGGGCAAGCAGGCCTGGCCTCCTGGCACGGAGGCCCCCGCGGTCGGGAACCACGCTCGCATCTTGTCGAAGCAACAATAGCTCCGGTAGTAGGTAAAGACCAGGCCAGTGCCGGCCGAGGCCTTGCACTCGGCCATGAAGGCTTCATCCTTTGCCAGCTCGCCGTTCTTCGCGAAGTGCGGGAGCCACCAGCATTTGGTGGCCTTCACGCAGTCGCGCAGGAAGCATCTGTCTTGCTGGAGATCAGTGTGAGCCGCACACAGAAGCTCGGGATGCCAGCGCAGAGCCTCGAGGGCGAGCTGGTGGGGCGGCAAAACCCGAAAGTCTTTAAATGGGCATTTCCAAGAGGGGTTATGGAGATTTGTAGGAATTACATGGGGCTTAAGTCTCAGCCTGGGATTTCTAAGAAGCTCGGGCTGCCAGCTCAGGGCCTCAAGGTCGCGCAGGTGGAGGCCGCAAAACTCGAAAGTCTTTAAAGATCTGCCTTTATGAGGGTTTATGGAGATTTGTTGGAATTGCAAGTCAAGAGCTTATGGGTTTTGACTATGGGATGTTCGCAGGGCTTGCAAAGCTCGATGCCCCTGTCATGCCACGGCCTACTGCTCCACCTCCTTGTGGCATGCAGCTTCATCGGGGATCACAAAGCTCTGTACAGAGGTTCTATGAGACTTGTACCGCTTCTAGGCATGTTCGTAGGGTTCATAGGATACTCAACTGTTTACCCTGCCTCTTTTTGGAGAGGAAATGCAATTTTCTGAAGCTTTATCGACTTTACCTCTAGGATCCTTCCGTACGGCCTCGAGGTTGTGAACTCAACAGTCTTCAGGGTGCTGTAATACAAACGGTTTATGGATTTCTTTGATGTTTACTGGGTGCTTTATGCGGTCTGCCTGTATTGTTGTAGGCATGTTTAAATAGGATTCATCACGCTTTCATGCCGCTGCCTCCAGGGCAAGCTCCTTGTCGGCGCGGAGATGGGCAGGTGCATCCCGCCAGGGAAAGCTTGGCGGCTTGCAGCACCCTCACCCCAATACTTCTTAAGGGAAACAAAAATGGATCTTCGAACCCGTGGGCGTCATCATGTTTGGGGTGCTTCGTTGAAATCGCTTTGCGCCAACTCTTCGGCTCCCAGCGGCCTGAAGGCCCGTTGGGCTTCCCAGTCAAATGTGCAGCAGCAGAGGCACTCCAGCAACCGGCGGCGCTCCTGCGAAGTGAGAAGCGCTTTCTCAGGTGCACAGTATGGCGGTGCGGGGCGAGCCTCACAGATTTCAAGTAATCTGGCTGGACTTGGTCTAAGCGTATCTTAGTTTTGAAGCCTTTGCTTTAGATCTTGCATGTGACTATGGGCACAACCCTGCAGGCCCTCTGTTCCACGCTGCTTGCCACACCCTGGTCTTGTTGCGAGCCTCATACTGTGACTGGCTGCAGGCCTTTTCGTGGTTGCCGCGACACCAGTTTTTCAGTCAACCGGACAGACTCTTTGAAAGCCAAGCACCAAGCATTCGTGGGGGTTTGGTGGGCGGAAGGAGCAACAAGCAACTGTCCACTGACACGGGGCTTAAACATTGTGTTTGTCCAGGCATGTTGTGC